GGGAGTAAACGTATACGCAAAGCGACCTTCCGCAAGATCCCAGAATGCCGCTGGGAATCAGTATCAGGGGTGAGCGAGATGAGTGTCGACGTGTAGTCGACTTCTCACGTTACACAAAAGAAAAGGCCCCCTGGATCCGCGACGCCTCCGCTCTCCTGGGCAGCGGCCGCCGCCGATCGATGCTCCCATGTTCGCGGGTGGATGATGAATGATGACCTGGCCCGCGAGCCTGGTCCATGAGCAACCAGGAGGATCCTCTCCCCTTCCCCGTGTGCCCACTTCTCACCAACGTCCCAAACAACTTGACAACTGCAACGGCAAGGCTCCTTCGCCACGAAAAACAAAGTACCAACAAGCCTGTGCCGCACACTCGCCGACGGAATCTCGACGACCGGGGCCAGCTGGGGGGAGAAGAAGAAGAGGACAGGGAGAGTACTTCGTAAGACCGTGTGCCCAGTCCGACGTGCCCGGCCCCGCGTCATCGACAACATTTCGTTGTCTCTGCCATGCCAGCCCAGACTTGCGGCGCGCAAGGCACCTTTCATTGTCTATCCTAACCTAATGAGGTAGACGTTGAGTCGGCCGCGCTCGAAGCATGCCCGTCAACAGACCAGGGGTTGGGCTTGCATCTTTACCAAAGTCCCAAGCGAACCAACAGACAAGAAGACCACCGGCAGGGGGGCTGGGAGAAGAGGAAGTATCAAGGCAGATGAGATGGAAGGGAGGTGCTAGGGGGGCCGATGTCCAGGTACAGACCAACACCGCCAGCCAACGCACCAACAACACACCACCAGCCACCAAGGAACAACACATACACGCACAAACACACAACACCCTCCTCCTCTCATCCACCCGGCCAACTTCACTTGTCTCCTTCGCTTCCCCTAACCAGGTTTACCCTCCTCCTCCCCCATTTGCATGCCACGAGGGGCAACCCCTGACTTACATTGCTCCCCCCTTCCCGAGGTGGCGTCCGCCGACCAATGCCTCTCCTCCGTCTGCACCCCGGTCGCCCGAGGTTGCCAAACCGTTCCGCCGGGCTGCCTAACCAGCAAAGTGGGTACCCCTTACCATCCTGGCGGGTTTCTCGTCCCAACGACCGTCGACGACCCGTCCGCCGAGTCAAACAGCAAATGTACGTGCGTGCCGTGCGCGCGGCGTGTGTGTGTGTATGTATCCGTATATGTGCCTCGTCTGTATGTAAGCCACACCCCAATGCGGGCTGTCGGTTCGGACCAGCACCAGGACGACAAGGGGCGGCGGCGGCGGGGTTGTTGGTCTTTCGGGCTCGCATGGGACATGTCAGCAAGAAAGGACGGAAAGAAAGGGCCTAGATTTTCGTGTCCGAATAGGGCAGGGAAAGCGCTAGCGTCTCCACGACCTCCCTGGTCGTGATTTTGAACGTTCGTTTGGTGTATCTCCTGGGGGTCGTCATCGCAGGCTTCTCGAGGCTTCCTTAGGTTTCAGGTGGATGATGCAGTTGGGCCTTTTTGCTCCCCTGGTGCAGGATCGTGGCTGGGCTGCTCGCGATGGATCTTCACCGTATCAAGTATGATGTTTCTGTGAATCGTTACCCGTGCCATGCATAGGTCTGAGCCTTGCGAGTCTCGTCAAGTAGGAGAATGTGCAGGCCGAAGGAACACCATGAGAAAGACAAGGAAGATCTGGGCAACCGATACCAAGCCCCATTACGTACGTCCAAGATGTCCCTTATCCCGTAACTTGTGACTGATTGAGAACTTTTGTGTGTTTTGACTGCTTCCAGAACAGACGGGAGTAGGGCATACTCATTGACCCATATGTCACTTTCGCTCCACACTCATCCAACGGAGGTGATGGCGGCACTGGAGACCCGGGAAGTAGGAAACCAGCCAACCTTGCGCGGGCGTATCGGCTCAAGCGCACGTTTTCAACCGCTCTGGAAGGGCGGGGTGGGCAGGCGCAGATCATCGGGGGACCTCACGTATCATTCGGCATCGTGGTCCAACAACCGCAAGAGTTCTCCGTCGACCGAGGACGGATACGAGATAATGAATGGCAGAGAGATACGGCCGGAATGCACACATGCGTCGTCTTCAAAGTGCCAGCCGGTGCTGCTGCTGCTGCTGCTGCTGCTGCTGCTGCTGCTGCGCTCCTTGCCCTGCCCGCAATGGAAAAGACACCACAAATCACATATATTGATGTGATAATTTGACAGAAAGGGACGAGGTTGGGCGGCCGTTTTGGAGAGGAGAGGGGTTAGGATGGATGCATATGCATGTACGTGGGTGCGGTTTGAGCACACCGATCCGGGTTCTTTCTTTGTACCTCCCCCCTCCCACCCCAGCCGGTCCAGTTAGCTCGGGTTCCGTGTTCCTGGAACTCGGCCCAGCTAGTAGGAAATTGTCGGAAAGTACTGGTACAACGGGACATCAAGGGGGGGAAGGAGGGGAGGGGGACGAGATGCTGCTGGCAGCGGGCGGCGGGCAGGCGGGCGTGATGGAGGGTATGGTGTGGAGATGGAGGAGTTCCATTCGAAAAAAAAACCAAGGTCTGGCTCCGCGAATGAGCTGGGCGAGTTGGACCGCCCCTCACCCTCCCAGGACCGCATCTCGGAGGTGGAGGTCGTTTTCCGCGGATGCAAGGTTGAGAAAGAAAAGAGGGAAAAAAGGAATTGTCGGTCAGCCTTGCAACCGGCCCCCAGCCGATGGCAACGTTGTCACGGTTGGCCGGAGTCGCAGCATGGGAGATGGAGAGAGAGAGAGAGAGAGCCGACAGCGGTGCTGGACTCGAGCATGGGAGGAGGCAGGGGGACGGTTGAACCAGCTTGTCGGAGACGTGTGTTGGCTACGTGAGCAGAGAGAGAAAGAGTTGCTGTTTGTCTGGGCTGGGGCGTGATGCGCATGAGAACGCACCCGTGACCTGTTCTGTCATATGCAGGAGGGACCAACGGCGTCGTCAAAAGTGTTGGTGGTTGTGGTTGTTGTTGCTGTTGTTGCGTACTCCCTAATGCGATACATGGTACTGCCTTCATCGCCCATTGTGTTAGGAAATGTTGATCGATGATCTACGCGAACGCCATGCGGTCGTTACCCGACACAGCAGGCAGGGGAGAACGGGGTGCCATGGCATGGCATGGCATGGCAATTAAAACCACCACGTTGCATGGGGGCCTGAGAGAGAGCACAAAGGGGACAGAACCAACAGGCGATGGGGCTTGCGATGGTCGAGTGCGATGCGGGTGAGCATGCGGGAGTAATGTGCTCCTGCAGGGTGAGGTGGAGATGGATGAACGAGTTGTTGGCAATGAGAAAGACACAAAAGAAAAAGAAAACGATAAACGGGAGTTTCTAGGCAATATTTCTCTCCGATGTTCGGATCGAGAACGCCAGTTTGCTTTCCAAAGCCTCAATATGAAGACGAGCGCCTGGCTACATGGCTCCAATGTTACCCACCATCCAGCCGTGCAGATGCCTCCGTGCCCGGCGCGAGCCTGACGAGCCTTGGATATGGTGTCATTCGTTTTGATAATGCTCGAGTCACCGGGTCTGGAAATGCAATGATGGACGAAGGTCGTCATTAGGCCAGAGGGTCGGCCTTGCTTTATGCGGCCATGACTTTGGGTCGCTCATATGGCTCTATTTACACGACTCCATCGGGGAACGAGGAGGAAAAACAAACGGAGGCCGTGAAGACCAGCCAGGCGCGGCCCGAAACGAGTAGCCAAGATCACGCTTTCATGCCGAGAAAAAACATGCCATTTTTTTCCTGCCTGCTTGCTTGCTGCCCCAAGAAACCACCAGCAAGCTCATTGATGCGCCTGTCCACACCACACACATGCATGTTGATACACAATTAATACCTCGGGGAAAGATCCTCCCAATGTGAAGATGATTCAAGATACGAAGATTTTTCGAGCTGTAGGTAGAAAGTGCTTGAATTCCCCAAAACTTTTGCCAGATACAGAGGAAGTTCCCAGAATCGGCCGTGTACAAATGAAAGAGGGAAAGTAACGTAGGCGGAAAATGCAACTGTCAGCCTTCTTCCATCCGCAACTCTGCAAGGCGAGGCTTCAGTGGCTCTCGTTGTGGCATGTGTTGGGATAATTGCAATGGCTCAGGGTATATTGGTGAAGTAAGGAAGCCAGTAACGACGAGAGGGAAATAAGGCGGATGTTGACTGCTCGCGGGGCCCTGTGCTGCAGGAGACGTCTTGGCGAAAGCTCAGATCAAGTCATGTGGTTGAGCTGGAACGGCCGACAATCACGGCCGACTCAGTACCATCTTCCGCGCTTTAGAAGAAAACGCCCGTCTGCATCGGACGAGTGGGCATCCGCCGAGTCCAGTTTGGGTGACGTGCAGTGGCTAGTGTTCAACCACGGAAGGCCATCCGATGCCTTTTTTCTGAATTTGCGAGTTAGGTGTGATGCCAGCCGTCGTCGACATGAGAGTGTAGAACAAAATGACTCGACGTAATTTGGCTCTGTCATCTTCGAAGAGGATGAATTCGGCGCGTAGGCACTGCCTGGCCTCGTCCGTTTGCCCAGCCCCATTGAATGAATGCAGGCCCCCCGGGGAACTGAAGTCCCTAGACTGAGCCCATCTTCGGCCCCCTATCTGTAACGCCCTGTAGACACCAGGAAGGGCACCAAGGCCTCGGATCGATGCGTTTGGTGTGCACAGGAAAGTGTTCGCTATAGTTGTCCAATTGAGCGGCGTCGCTTTGAAAGATATCAAACGTGGCAGTTTTTGCTCGTCCCATTGCGGGCCAACATAGGTTTTGACGGGAGGGTGACAACAGGAGAGAGCTGCTAACGAGAGCCTGCCGCGACGTAACCAGCGAGGCCCAATCTGCGAGGAGGGATGGTTGGAGCCATCGGCAATCTGGTTTCCTCCATCTTGAAATCATTGGATCGGCTTTTGTGCCGTCCACACGTACCTGTGATGGACAATCAGTACTTGAATATACATACACACGATTGGCCGTTGCAGTTACCGCAACGGCAATTTGCATGCGGAAACTCACATTCTGCAGTAGGCGTGGACGCTGAGTCGGCAGAGCTCCTGCTTAAGCACTTCCACGAACTGGTTTACTTGATTGGCAGTCCAGGGTTCTGGCGCGTACCGGGTGAATGGTGCCATTGTCATCGCTTGGAGGCCGTGGGTAAGCCCGAGATTGAACCAGCGGCCGAGTTCCTCCTCATGTTCATCAGGGCGCACCCATGGGTTGATTGGCAGGTTGATCACCTGCTGGCTGAAGTTTGTGAAACCCGTGGATTCAAGGGCGGCCTTTGTGTCGAAGATGTCGATGGGAGCACCGAACCTTCTCATCGCCTGAGACAGCACGACGCCCCATTGGCGGAGAGGTGAATTCGGCGAAAGAGTATTATCGTCACAACGGAAAACCCATTCGATTTCCACCTGCTCAATGAAGCCTCCAGGCTTCAGGTGCCTGAAACTTCTGTTGTACAGTTGTTGCCAGTCTCGCATGGAGCCGAGCATCATTTGCATGTGGACGAAGTCAAAGTATTGCTCAGGATACTGCCACGGATCTTCGACGTCGGCACGCACGAACTTGACAGTCGGGGGGATGCTAATGGCGAAAGGTGAGCCCACGCCATGGCTACGTTGAGCACCGCAAAACACATACCTGCCGGGTTGAATTAAGGAAAGATCGAGTCCGATGATGCTCTCGGGGGCCTTTTGGGCCCAATGAAGCTTGCTGAGATGGTCCTTGTCAGCTATTTCAGTCGTTTGAGCGTGGGAGGTGTATCACGCAGTGGGTGTCTTACTCGGCAACCTCGATCGCCCAAAACCCAGTGCCTGCTCCGAGATCGATAATGCGAGAGCCTGCTGGTGGGTCGGGAATGCTGTAGAGTGCCTTGTTCCTTGCAATAGAGATCATGTTGTGGAAAATGTCAAGTCTGTCTTGTTCCTCCTGCTCATCTTGTCAGCTTGAAGACCTCAGGGAAAGGAATCATTGGAAACGCACGTCATCCACGGGAAGTAGGTATTTACCACTACGATACCCGCCATAAGTGCGCCCATTTTCAGCATAGTCGCCTGGCACCTCTGAAGTCCCACTATTGCGCATCAGAGTCAGCATCTTAGTACTCAGTACGAAGCACGCATGCTGCGGCCTGCCATTGAGGACCTACATACCTTTGTTGAGACATGGCTACCATGCGTGTGGATTTTGGACAGACGGATGGCGGTGACGAATGGCGTAGCGTTGTATGACCGTACAGCCTGAAGGGTGTCTAAGAGCAGATGTTGAGCAGCAAATACTGGACCAGACTCTGCGCAAGTTATTGGGTTAGCGTCGTTTGAAGCTAGAGCTGCGAGGACTTGGAGAAGGGCTGGTGTATGATGTGACACTGGCGATTCTGAAACATGGAGAAAGGGGAATTGGGCTGAAGAAGTGGGAATGAGACAGCAAAGCAATTTAAAGTAGGTGCAGTAGTGAGTCTGAGAGGGAAACGAAACGAGATGACGGTGGTAGCGCGGCAAGGCGAAGGCAGCTGCAGCAGCAACCTAAGTTAATGGGATGGGAGCAGCACGCACACACGCACAGAGCCAGGCTGGATGTCATTCATCCAGGGAAAAATGGCCACCGAGGGGCAGGCTTTTTATGGGGAATGCGACCCAAACGAGGGCGGGCTCGAGTGAGGGTGTCGAGAGTGAGGGGGAGCGAGAGGCAATAACCCACGACAGATGTAACAGCGAACAGCAAGAAAAGGGGCCGATGGCTCTGGGAACGATGTAGCGGAATTGGTTGCTGCGAAGAAGAAGCTGGGTAACTCGACTTCTTGTATTCCAAGAGCCATGGTACCTTACACTGACACCGCCCTCCCTCTCACTCACACAGACACACCTCGACAACAATACACGATAGAACACTCCCGATTAGGCAAGGATTCCACCACAACTATGGCAGGGGAAAGCAAGTTGCTGTCTGTCTGTTGCTGGCATGACCAGAACAAAACCGGACGGGCAAGACAACGCCATACTCTTGCATTTGGCAGTGCACTTGCACTGATGGCCGGACAACACGCGCAGGCGCGGACGGACGCGCGCGTATACACGATCTCTCTGCTCTCGCCATTACAGCGGCCTCTTTGACAAGGTTGCTGGCGCGGGACCACGACAACTCATGGCCCAGCCAACAGGTCGGCTGAGAAGGATGCGACCAAAGAAAGAAAGTAAGAGGAGAGACAAAAAAAAAAACACATCAAGTCTCGTTCCGCTTTCGAATGATGGGGAGGGTGGGTGACATGGGGTCGAGGTGGTGGTAACTCGCATGCTAGGGCAGGGAGAAAAGGGCCGCGTGCTTAAAGGCTGGCCAGCGTGCGAGTACATGTACCTGCATGGGAGAGGTCGCAATCATGGCCGCCAACATGGCATAGGAGATGAAGAGTGGGAAATTGGTGCAGGTTGCATATGTATGCGTTTGTGTGTTTGTCTCCGTGAGACGGAAGCTCGTCTTGAGGTTTGAGATGGACAGACAGCGATTGAGGCGGGTGGGTTGGGCTGGGATGGGATGCAAGGCAAGACAACGAAGGTTGAGAGCAAGTAGTTGTTGACATACCTTTGCACAGAGACTAGTTGGTCGAGATGCTGGTGAAGTAAGAGAAGACCGGGGGTTCGTTTGGGATTGCACAAGTCGAGGAGGTCGTACAGACGGGGACCGGTGCTGCGGTAATCGGCCTTTTTCGCCCTCGTCGTGTGCAGGTTGGCTCGAGGCGATAGGTTGCGAAACGATGGGCAGCGTCGCAAGAGGCGAGAACCGTTGGTCGGGTCGGGCTGGGCTGGGCTGAGTCTGAGTGATTGATTGTTGGGGTCGAGTTCTCAAAAACGGCTATGTCAAGAAGCCTTGGCACAAATCGTGTATAAGCCAGCCTATGAGTAGGGTCAAGTTTGTGATGAGCTGGACTCGAGACAAGGTCGTTCAACGGGCCCAAGTTTGCGATGATGAGGTGAGGGTGGTGCGGCAGAAGCAAAGAAAGAATGGCAGAAACCAAGGGCAGAAGCTGAATGGTGGTTGAGATTCGGGGGCCGTGTTTGAGGTCGAAGTTGAGGCCGGTCGCGGTCACGGTCACGGTCAAGGTCGAGGTCGAGTTCGAGGTCAGGGTCGAGTTGAAGGTCAAGGCCGACGCAAGGTGATGTGATGAGGCGTGTGTGATGCGAGGTAAGGTAAGGTAAGGTAAGGCGGGCAGGTTAAGGTGTGGTGATGTAGGTAAGGTATGGAGATGCAAGGTGTGTGAGCTACGCTACGGTGCGGTGCGGTGCGGTGATTTGTGAAGATACCCAGTCGGGCAGGTCAAGCCAGCAAGCAGGTCTGGTTGGGTCTGGTCTGTCTGTCGGGTTTCGTTTCGGCGACGGGCGGGAGCGGGAGGAACAGCGATCTGGCGGGATGGGATGCACCCAGTATTAAAAGGAAGGGGAAAAATGTCCAGGCCCCAGGTTCTTGTACAGGATCTGTCTGTAAGTGACGGGACGGGGAGGGGAGGGGAGGTGTCGGTCGGTAAGTGGAATCCAGGGCAGCATAAAAGCAACAGCAGCACCACCACTACTACCACTACCACGACCAGACGGCACCACTACTAAGGTACTAGGTAAGGCACTGACGGGATGTTGTTAGATCCAGCAGGACGAGCGAGTATGGATGGCGTCGGCGTAACACCAAGGGGCGACGGGCCAGAGAAACACTTACGCAGCAGGGTCCTTGGAGGTACTCGACTTGGTAGCCGACTAAAAACACGGGCAGAAAGAACAGAGCCACTGCAAAGCCAGGCACTCCCCGTCTTTGACGATGAGCCCAGGTTTACCACCTGGGTACTAGGTAAGGTAGGGTAGGTAGGCAAGGCAGGTAACTATCCGTTAAGGCAAGGTACCTCAAGGTAAAGAGAGGTACACCAGAGAAAAGGTACCGTACCAGGAACGGAGAGTAGAGTAGCTCCAACCTGGAAGTCGGTCTGTGTCTATGAGCGAGCTGCTGCGCTGCACCACCAAGCCAGGACAGGCCACCTGCTAAGTTTAAAGACAGGTGTGGGCTCGCTGCTGCTGCTGCTGTCCTGCAACGTTGGAAGAGGGGGGTGAACCCTGGACGGCGGAAGCAATCAAAAGACGCCGATGCAAGTGAAGAACAAGCGCAGCTGCACTGCACCACGCCCGGCAGGTCCCCGTCTGTCCACAATTGTTGTATGTATGCGCCTGGGCTTGCCCCTCTCTCCCCTGTGTGGTGTTGGTGCAAAGACAAGACGCGGAAAGGATTGGTGCTGCGTGCTGCGTAGTATTATCTGTCTCTGTATTGTATCTGTCTCTGTCTGTCGTCTCGTCGTTGTGGTCTGGTTGGTATTGTGGATGGTGCCAAAGACAGCAAAAGTATACTGCCTTAGTATGTTAAAGACAGATTGCTCAGTCTAGCCTGTCGTCGTATGATGTTCTAGAAGAGAGGAGAAAGAATGAGAGAGGTAAAACTAGACTGCGGACGCCTCCTCTCCGCGTCTCATCGTTCGGGGGACTTCCCACTGTTAAGTACAATTAGTGGGCATGTTTTTCTTTTCAAATTGTCCATCTTCGATTCCAATGCCTTTCTTTCTCTCCCCTGTCCCCTGTCCACAATCGCTCGCTGCGGTTGCCATTTCAATCATGTCTGTCCTGTCACCGCCCCGGGGCTTGGGTGGGAAGGGGAGGGGGGACAAGACTCTCCCGAGTCTGCCTCCCACCCCTGGTGGCCCTGTGGGTGTCGATGTGATTGATGATGGATGGATGGAGCTTGGACACGACCAGGCTTGTAAATATGCAATGCCTCCAAGCCGTAGTAGTGCAAGACAGGCAAGGTCCAAGGTAGTCGATGGCCTCTCCTCCTCTCTTGTCTCCCCAGTCCTTGTCTCTCTTTTCTTTTGCTCCAAAATACCATCATGGCAGCCCCGTCCAGGCCCGGAAATACGCAAGACGTGTGCGGTAAGGGCTAGTCATCTCAACCTCGCTTGCAATTTCACCTGACCCCGGACTAGAGGTCACGACTATGACACAGCGGCCGACAATTCTGCTTGGTCGAGAAACGCGAGTACGCAGATGGATAGATAGGGTCGTTATAGGTAAGGAACGGGACGGAGACTTCAACAATATTGATTAGGACGGACGAGGTCGAGGAGGGCAAAGTCGTTCACGGAGGGGGGAGCCATGACATGGGGCCGAATCCACCAACAGGATCGGAGGGGCGTAGTGTAATTCAATTCGTTCGTTCGACTGCGGTAAGGGTGTATGTCCTGCCCTGCCCTGTAGACTGGAGGAGTCCAGTCCAGGAGTCAAGGTATGACGACGGCAACATGCAAAGGGGGATGGACGGATGGATGGATGGTTGCTGGTAACCCGTCTCCCGGGGCGTTGATTTTTATTTGGCACTGGAAGGTTGTGTGCATTCTGCCATGTTCCGTCCAATCCGCCAGCCCTCCTCTCGTCGTCCCCTCTCTCCATCCCACCCACCCTACTTTTGCTTCTTCTACTTCGTACGCAGTACCTTGGGTACGGAAAGTACAGTTCCTGAACATGTCCTTCTCCTGCCTCGGAGCTCTGCCCTAAGCCATCCCGCGGCGGTAGAAGGTACAGTCGGTACGCAGGTACCGTACACTGCGTCTGTCTGCACCTTGCTAGAACTTGCCTTACCTTCCGCAGTAGTGATGGCTTGGCCCCCGCTGAGTGCGAGCCTTTTGGCCCTGTGTGGCGTGTCACGCCTGAACCGTCTTAGTGCACGGCACCCTCGAATCCTGTCTTTTCCCTCTCTGTCTCTCAAAGTCCGTTGATGTCAAGGCAAGGCGAGGCAAGGCAGACCGAAGACGCACATGGCTTTCTCTTTGTGTGTCATACGGGGCCATCCGCCTCTCAGTCTCTGTTTGTCTGGTGCACTCATTTCCTTCCTGCGTCCAGACTCCAGCCTCCCCTCCAGAAGCCCGGTTGGGATCAACTGCATAGCCATGCAGACCACCACACTACACAGTACTCCGCGCTACTGTACGTCTACCAGTAGGGTAGCTTGGTGGAGAGGGCCAGGGGAGGGTATCCGCCTGCAGATTTCAGATTCCCACTCTTCATGTTCCGTCACCTCACCTCCTTGGGCTAGTTTACCAGACAAGACCAGCTGCATAGGGCAAGGAAGGCAATGAAGACCTGG